ATGGATTTTGTAGCACTCTTTAATGCTGATAATTTATGATTATTCTTTTAAAATGAGGCATGCAATCACAAAAGCAGCACCCTTGTCTAATTTAATATTCTATTTGCAGAAATATACACACGAGGCAAATATTATGCAAAATTATGGCTTAAAGTTGATCACATCCGCAGGATCTTCTTACACAAACATAACCTCAAACTAGTGGTGCATACGTGCCTTAAGGCAAATTGCTAGAACTTCCTGTACCGTGATGAAATTAAATATTCGAAGAATATTAAAAGTTTTCAAATATATTATTATAAATACTATAACTTTCATCATTCGTGATTTATAGACAAAATATAAGAACTAATAAATTGAACAAAAGAAGTACAAAAATATTGATTTACCCTAGACAAACAAAAACAATAACTAATATGTAAAAAGCTAAAATTTAGAGCCGTGTTCATGGATGATTTTTTTATTTGATTACAGATGGCAACCCAAACAGTTGCCACATCTCTGTGTGGTGAATTTTATTATTAAACTTTCTGTAATAGGACGAGTATTTTATTGATACAGCAATGTCACATTTTATATTTCTAGTCTATATTTCCTAGTGAAAACGTATGTCACTACTGCTTGACATCAGGCTCTGCGAAGCGGGCTCGGACCTGGTACCTCTGGTTCAGATTCCTCGATCGATCATTTGAAGCATTTTATATTCTTTGTTCGAATTATTCGACATATTTGTGAAACAAAGATTTTCAAATTTGAATTCGTCGATGCCATGTGATTTATAAAATTGACTTACTGAACGCACTTTGTTAGTAACTAATTTAACAGATTTTATATTATAAAATATCAGCTAAATTTTGAAATAGACATTTGAACCATTATTATATTTTATAAAAATGTAGAATAGATTTTTGGTTTACCCATTATAAATTTAAATTCATATTAGTTATAACATCTGAAAGGTAAGCATGGTACAAGAAAAGTCAGCGCACCTCTTTGGATTGTAATTAAAGAAAATGATCTATCAGTTTCAATTACAATATCAATAAAAAGCAGTTTTTACTTGAGAGAATGCTTGGTAATTTAAGCTTTTAATATTGTACTTTTTATTTGAACTAAACAAATTTTATTAAAAGCAAATCACATTATTGAACGGTAAGGTGGGTGATGTTTTGTTTATTAATAATCGAATGTTCTGTAGAAACATGTATTTCTTCTTTTCAAACAACAAATATTCGACGAAACATTAAGTAGAAATTTTTGAACTAATAATTTATTGATAATGGAGTTTGAGATAAAATTTAGTGCACATACTTTCCTGTTTTTTTCATTTAGAAACGTTTTCTATAAAATACATAAATTTATCCTCCACCAAAAGGACGTATAAATTATACGCATATTCCAAGCGTGTGATCAATTTGGGAAACAAATTTTACTGTAAAATCATCATAGGCATTTGATTCACCTGGTCACCACATAAATAATCATAAAAAAACAACTCATTCATAAAAAATCATATGTGAATTTCTAAGAAAACCGGAATATAATATTTCTTACGCAACCTACCAATGAATGAATGGTTGAAATGGCCTGATCCTTTTCCACCCTCAGTTTGCTACAATTTTATGCGTATCTGAAGGTTGGCTCATTTATAGAAATGTTTAACTTGATATGACAAAAAATATTGTGTGATGTGCAGGTATCAATTCAATTTTTATTGTGCCAAGGGCTGCCTTTCGTTTTTTTTAGTTATACGTTAACGGAAGTGGAAATAACACGGTCTGATTTATTAGAATTTAATGCTAGATCAGCTCAAAAGTTATAGATTTAAATTTTCATGAAATGGGTTAATAAATTTATTAACTGGTAGCGAAGATTAAATTATCATTATACCATGCAGGCGCATTATATATAGTAAATGATTGAAGGATGATGTAATAAAATGTTTTTTTCCATTAAACATGAAAATGTATCATTAGCTTTATAATACTATTTATTTTTAGAATACATTAGCAAATTTTTTTGTCAAAATTAACAAATTGGAAAAAAATAAACAAGTTAAATGATTATCAAAATAAAATATTTTTTTGGATTTACTAAATAATTTTAAGATTTATGGTCACACACACATGTCGTATTCTCAAATTCAATAGTAAAAATTAAAATTTCCTATACGAATTTGTGTTCGAAGCAATAAATTTGAAAATTGAATGTTTTTGACTGAGCAATTGCAGAGTTTTATGTTTTTATTTTCGCCGAGTATTTTTTCTTATATTTTTATTCCAATACTTTTGTAAAATTATCCTCCTTGTCAAATTTACAACTAATCATTTACTATGAAGCACTAATTCAAATAAAACTGTGCTTTGTTTTCTGAAATCTAATTAGATTGTACAATCGCAAATACGAATTAGTACCAGATTTAAATTCAATGCATGTTTGCGTATTTAAAAGTTACCCTTTTTAACAACGCCTAGATACGTGAGACACAGAAAGATATATTATTTACAGTATAAAACATTTTTTATTACTATTTTATTTTTTTAATACTTCTAGTAGATTTTCCAGTAGTCGTATCTACAAATATCAAATCATAATAATAATGGTGTTCCCTTTCTCATATATTGCTAAAAATCTCTGCTCATTGTTTGCAATAATAATTGATTGCAAAATAAATTAATCAAAAAAAAATCAGAAATAAAAAGTATTTCTAGAAGTGTATGTGCTCTTTGCTCTTATTGAATCTTGAATAAAGAGCATCTCCAAGTGAGAAGATTTCCCTTAGAAAATATTTAATTAATATTAAATACTTAATTCAGTTAAGTATATTTTTATATATGTACTTAATGTATATTTTAAAAATCTTTCAGTTGGTATTAATTAACATCTTAAATTTATGGATTTGTAATTTGGATATGGGATAAGTATATGAATTATGATACATGATCACACATATTATGTGACATACCAGGGGATGTTTGCAAAGGCTCTATTTTATTTTGAGATCTTTTAGTTAATTTTACAGGACTTTACAGTTCCATGTTATATGTCCAGATCTTCTGAAGCATATATGGGTTACCTCTACTTATCCGCAATTATGTGAAATAAATAGATTAATTTACTCTAACATAATATGCAAATTAAATGATAATAAATTTTCATGATTTTATGAATGATTTTTTTAATATGGGCGTTTTGTAATTTACTTTTATAATTTATTGCGCGCTATAAAAATAATTATGCGATCGATATACCTTTCGGGGAGTTGTTCGACTCAATAAAAATCAGCCGGTTCAACAGGGCAGACGTTCTGTCTAATAAGTTTCTTCTCGAAATGTGAATGCGGTGAATCCCTTCACATTTTGGGTCGCTTTTGTACTGTCCATGACTACTATAAACTTTTATTTATGCCTTTCCGGTTGCCGCCATAAATCGATATAACGAATTCAACACTTTTCTTACGGCTTCGCCGTCACATTTTTTCTTCTTTTTACCTTTTTGACATTTTATTCATTAGCCACACTCACGGGAGCTGTTCAGTGCCTTACCTGTCTGCTCGGCGGAACCGGATTGTCATAAGATTAGACAAGTTATCAAATATGCATGAGTAGATGATAACATAAGCGGACTTTATCAAACAATTTTAAAATATTATGATGCCATCTAATAGATACTCCGAACTATTAAACTTTTAATTTGTTGAATCGAACAAGTATCTGTTTTTAAACGTGTAATTCATTAATTTGCATCTAATTCTGAAATAAAAATTGCACGTAATTTAGGCAATTAGAGTTTTGTATTAGAGGTGGTTATGATATAATGTAGGTGGCTTTATATATTTATATCTATACTCTTTATATATATTTATATCTATATATTTATATATACTTTTGTACGACTTTGTACCTTACCGCAAATTGTTGAATCATATATAGATGAAAACATCAAATACTTACTCATTTTTGTTATACATTTTACTTTCTACCTGACAGAGAGTTAATATATCGATCGATTGATATGAAGATACCCTTGAAAGTTTCACTTGCTTCATAAAGTTTAACATTTTTATTCTTTTTAAAACACCAGTTTCAGTAAATGTTAGTTATTTTTACATTGTAAAAATATAACCTCAATTTGCGCAAATATAAAAAAAAGTTAACCACAAACTAAATTTTAAAATAAAAGTTAAATTTGGAAGCATATTCAATAGTTTATTAGCATATTTAATAGTTAATTAAATTATATTTAAATAATAATTAAAATAATGTTATCTGCTCTCGGAGTTTTGAAAAATTTGACATTGAAGATGTTAAAGCTTATAATTCTATCTGTAAGTTAAAAGTGAGAGTTTTGGAAATCAATACTCTCAAAAGTATCAATATTCTCAAAAATCTCAATCAATACTTTCAGTAAATTGCTTTTTAAAAAAAAAATATTTTCAATAGCAATCAGAATATATGACAATTCTTTGAGCTATTTGGCTTATGTCATTCACTCGTACACATACACACACACTTTCAAACACACATATAAATTTATCTGACAAATATTACATTGAAATTTAGAGAATCACTTCAATAAGTGATTCTACTAATTTGTTCACATAAAGTTATAATAGTTCTGAGAGCCCCCGTATTATCTTTGGCCAGCTTCTTCTTCAGTCTTCTTGAAGTTGGTGTTTCAAGAAGCTGAGTGACTATTTTTTATTCCAATTGTTCTAGTTTTCTTTCTAGCGTTTTTCAAAACCTTACATGGCGATAGAGTGGTCAGGTCTTAGGTAAACCCCCTAACCTTTTTCAAGCGGATCAATTGGTGACAAAATTTTAGTATATATTGTTAACATATTTTGAATTATTGCTCAAATTTATCAAATTTATTCAACAAAATTTTGCGCTTGGTTCTCTTGTTACCATCGAATTTTGAAAAACTATTGAAGATATAAGGCTTAAAATACTTGTTCTATTGGACCTCTTTTGAATATAAAATGACATAAACAATATATATTATGTATTAATTGCTGCAAGTTTACTACAATGATTCTGAATATCTTTCAACTTAAATACTAAATCATGCAACTGTTCCCTATTGCAACAAAAGCTTATCGGTTCCTTATTTGTTACCAATTGAATCCTATACAATAATTCCTTCTCCAAACTCTCATTGTTTTGTATAACATAATCCAATTTCCATTTAACTTCTGTAATATGCGGTACATGATTATCATTGAACAGTGCAATGTTCTTTAAAATATCAATTTTTGAGTTATTATATGTTCTGGTGATTAAATCAGCACGATTTTGGTTGAGTTTCAATTTTGTTAGGTAGATGGATAGGTCTTGATCTTCTGATGATCGTAAATGTTCAAAGAATAAGCTTATCATACTGAATTGGACAAGTTTTAAGATGTCTTGCTTGTTTGTTGGAGGTAAATTTATCTGTTCATTGGAATTGCATACAAGGTTAACACATTCGGCTAAAATTTGTTTAAGAACCTCATCACTTATTATTGTATGTGTTTATAAGTATGATAAACCATTGATTAGTTCTTCTGTTAATTCCATTTTTGATTTTCATATCTTTAATTAATATAATTGTCATATCTAGCAATTATACTTTAATTAATTTACTTGGGAACAAAAGCCTTAAAAATGACATAAAGTATGCCGAGAAACCGTGAATATCCAACTTATTCTCATTTTCCATCATTATTTACGGTTTACTATTTAACCTCACCTTACTTCCACTCTAATTCTAACAAGGTGAACCTCAGGTTTACTCTTCTTTATGATTTAACATCATCTTTCTCTAATTCTAACAAGGAGACCTTCAGGATTACTCTTCCAGAATTTTGATGAAACTTTGCATAGTGATAGAGTTTATAGTTAAACCATCAATCATATACTTTAAAATATTACAGGCCTATGAGAAGTTGATTAATTATAAAAATTAAAGTAGTTAATGAATAAAATTATTAATTAAAGTAAATAATTAATTGATTAAAGTAGGATTTTGATGGAACTTTGCATAGTAATAGAGTTAAAAGTCAAACCTTATACCTAAATATTATAGGCCTATAAAAAGTGGTTTAATTATAAATATTAATTTAAGATACGTAAAATAGACAGCAATAGATGAAAGAAAAGCGCGGAACGAAAAGGTTGGAAACCACTGGTTTAAATAGTTTTAATTAAAAATTTTATTTGGTAGTTACAATATTTTATATGTATATAACTTTGTTCAGTTTCTGAAAAAATTAATTACGAGGTATCTAGTAATTTCTAACCTTATTTCGTCTGAAATTATCAGCCAACCCCAAATTAAGTTTGGCTCAAAATAAAAATGAGTATCGGCATTTGGTGGATAGACTAATTTTACTTTGATCAGCTCATAAAGAATAATTTCAAATTAAAGTAATCAAATTTCTACCATATTGCGTCCGTAACTATCAACCACCCCCCAAATTGAGTTGACTATCGACTATCATCCACCCCTCAAAATATAATAAAAATTGGGTAAATCGGCACGTGTCATTTATTATTTAGTAAGTAATTTCCATCGAGGTGTTCGGGCGGCGTCCATTGTGTCGCTGGCGGACCGCATTCCACTCGATGCGCGGCTACTCGACGGCACAGCCGAACGCGAGGTCACGCAGAGTCGATGTACTCGCGCGGCTTCTCAACTCGCGCTGCAACAAGCCAGATCGGGATGAAATCAACGTCTTCATAACTATATTTTGCAATATTTGTACTTTTAACTTTTAAAACTATATGCTGAAAACTCTATAAAGCTGGTACGGGTAACCCCCGTATAGCCGTATAACACGGTACTGTTAACACGGGTTCACTATAACATCATTTACTGCTAATTTATAAATCTTTATATTGAAATCTGCTAAATGTTTAGGCTTAAACTTCAAAATTTTAAATGTTTCAAAGAGTTGTTAATGTTTGCACAAATTATATGTGGCTATAAAAATAGATGATGTTGTCAATATCATATTTTGTAAACCAATTCGTATGTGGACAAATGAGAGTATGTAGACACATAACATATAACCATAAATTCTTCTAAGTGGACAATTTTTCTTCGCGTTATTTTTTTAACTTCTTCAATGTGGGTTAGACTTTTGTTTTGAGTTTTATATCAATGGTGCAGATAATATATGTTAAAATAAGACACAAATCATGGTAAAAAATTGTAATCTTTCACTATCCTCTCGGTAAGGGGAGGCACGGTAAGAGGAGGCACGAAGGTCCAGTTTGACTTTGAGCAATTATATTCTGAAAATCAAACCAATTATATCACAACAAATAACACATATCAAACAATTAACTATCCGCCCTTTTTTTCATTGTAGAAATGTGTTTTTTGCTGTTTGTCAATAATTTGTCACATCGTTCTTTACCCCATAGGCAGGATGAAGTAGGACGACTAGAGGAGAAATAGGTTCAATGTTTATTATTAATTTTGTAACGATTTTGCGAAATAAAAGCTCCACTAATGCAAAATATAAATTGCATTGATACCATTTTTACAGAGATAGCACTGTATATAACCATGATCTGGTATTTTGTCAAAAATATTTATCAGCTGAGTTAGAATAACTATTCATTTAATTTAGTTCTTGCAAAATAGCTTTTGTTGACCTAATTTTTTATTTTTTATTTTTTATTGATTACACATTTTCTAGGGTAAAGGGTTCAGATAGCCCTTTTTTTACCCCACTTATGTGGAAGCTTTTATAGAGATTTTATATGAAAAAACTGTTGAATTTAACATAAAATTAATAATACATTTTACAAAACAATTAAATAACGTAAAACTTATACTAAATACAAGAGAAAAAAACAAAAAAACATCAACAAGAAAAAAACCTACTCTTGGTATGATTTTTTAAACAACCGTTTATCTCCTAATTGCGACGTCGTAAAATTAATGTGATGGCTATTTAAACATCTTTTGCCTTCTACTTTAAATTAGTAGGTACATATCACTAAAAAATATATATACTTTGCTTGTTATTGAGCTGATGATGGACCTTTTTAACCGTGGATCTTCAATCCTCGCTTTACGCTATATCATTCAAAAAAACAATCCTTTGTTATCTCAAAATTATTTTTATAATATTTTTGCTAGGGAAAAATAAAACCTGCTGTAGACCTAAGTGGCTATAAGGCAAGTTGCATAAACTTTCCGATAATATTTAATAGTAATTTATAATATTTATGTTTTCGAATGAGAATAATATCGCTGATGCTTAACATTAGGTTTTTAGAGGTTGCAATCATCCTGCGAATACCAGAAGCTGTAACCTGTGATTGACCATATGTAATAGTGAGATTGCTTAGATGAATGAATAAAATAGGAGATACATACATTTAAATACATTTTTTTGAAACACATTTTGTTCACAATTTTTATTGTATATAAATTCGTACAAATTGTATTGTACTCTTGTACTCTGTATTCTTGTGGCCGCTAACCCTTCTGCCCGAAATAGCTAATTTTGCGATTATATTGACGTTTTTGTTATATTATCTGGATTAACTTACGCCAAGAAGCACATGATGTCAATCAATTTTATTGCTATAGTGATATCTTAGCTTTTATCGTTAGTTTCGTCATTAATTATTGTGTTAACTTAATTACTTAACTTAATTACAATTTTGCGAGTTACCTTAATCGGTAATTCGAGCAGAAACAATAATTTTACAAATCACGACTCAAGTTTTTTCGCAGCTGGTTGTTTGCAAAATCATTTAGGCACTTTTGAACATACGGATATGAATAATATGAAGACGCTTAATGAAACGTGGAGCATTAAAAATGCTATTAAAGTGACATTAACATCAGGTTACGAGCCGACAGTGTCATGAGAGTAGAAATATAGGGCATTTTATGATTTTATTTCATATTTAAATAATTTATGTTTCTTGTGTCCATGCAAAGTTTAATACGCACCGTAAGAAGAAGGCTTATGTCGGCAGTGTTTTATATTTTTCCGGTAGCAGAAATGTAATTATTCGCGAACAAAGAATCAAGTTATCTTGAAAACTAATTTGAGTGTACTAATGCTCTAGATATTAATTCATTTATACTACTTTTATTCAACTTTCTTTCATTGAACCTAATTTATTTAAAAGTCCTTATTCAAGTATTCCCATGAAAACTAAATTTTTTCATGAGCATTCAATCAATAGCATAAAGTAGTTAAAATCTAAAATTTTGCAGATTTTTTTGTTAAATTTTGCGCAACTATTACATCCTAATCCAAATTCGAGCACATATGAATGCTTTCAAGAATTTAATCCTGCAACTCAACACAATGGGGCGTGAATAAAAAATATCGGCCGGAAATAGTACATAATTCTAAGTCATTAATTTCCCATCAAATAAAGTTAACAAAAGTTAAGGGATTCGTCTGTATTGTACGAGATCTATGCCTGTTGTATTCTCAGCAGAAAACCTCACGTTCCTGAAGCTATTGTGCAATTGTGCTCTTCTTGCCTCATATGTTCCGTACCTTTTTTGCAATATTTCTTATAGATATATATAGTTAATAGATTTTTTTATTTACTTAGTGTTTTATACAAAAATCTACCAATACATATATTTAACATATATGGCAAGTCTTTGGCGTTTTTGTTCATTGAAATATATAGTTAATTTAAAGTTGATGCATTAGTTGAACCATCTTGTACGCCAACTTTTATTTAGAGATCAATAATTTATCGCAAAAAATGCTATTTCCGATTAATTCGAGATATATTTACAGGATCTTAAGTATTATGCCCTCAAGTTTATTAGTGTCCTACTACAGCTTTGGCTTTGGAAAATAAGTAGTATTAGAAATTGATCTTTTTCTGTCCCTAAAGCGCCATGTAAGATAATTTAAAATTATTGGTTATTTTTTATTTCCCATGATTTGTAACACGAGACAATATGATTTGTTGGTTCATATTCTGTCGATCATGACTTGATAATGAAAAAAAACACAATCGATAAGTTTGGTTTCGAATTTCTAATCGCATAAGTATTGCAGGTTTTGTGAGAATCAGAAACCTTATTGAAGCATAATAGAATGTTAATGCCATTGCATCAAACCTTTCAAATTGATGGTGACATTCTAGGCTAGTAGAGAAAACGTCGTTGAAAATCGATGGACGTGGGATCCGTCCACTGAAATCATTATGGGTGGCCACTGGCCATCTTAGGCTAATCGTAAGATGTAAGGAAATCTTATAGCGTTTTTGATTAAGAGCCAGATATGCTGTTTATAATTTTGTGCATTTACACACACACATGCATATATTCAAAACATATGTATTCTTGGGGGGTATTTGGAGGCAGCTGTCTTCTCCTTTATTAAATAGACCAGCGTTCGGAAGCTTTTTTAATCGTTACCCCATAATATTTTGTCTATGTTGATATTACACCCATCGCCTAGAGAGATTACACCCATACCTAGAACTACATAGAAAAACAGTATATGTATATCAATTAAAAATACTTTTACCCCCAAAATTTTCATTTTTACCCTGTTTGTAGTTT